AATTAAATTTTAAAACTAAAAATATAAAAGTAAGTTACTAGGTAGCAGGTGCTTTTTACGATAAGGATATAAAATAATCTATTTAATTTTATTAATATTTAATGATAAATTGCTTTATCACTTTCACCATTCAGAAATTTTGATTAGTTCAATGTTAATTTTGCTAAAAAGTGTTATAATGTTATTTTGAGAGAGAAACGAGTAATTATCACCATCAAACATAACAGTGTTTATGTTAGAAGCTTTGGGTAGATCATTAATATTTATTAAAAATAGGAGAGGTCCTAATATAGTTCCTTAAGGAACTCCACACGTATTCTTTAAAAAATTAGATAACACGCTGTCATCCGTATAAACATATTGCTTTCTGTTACTTATGTAATATTTATATTAGTGTAATTAGGTGGTAAGTTTACCGTGGATGTAGTGGAAACCACTTTATTCAACCTTAGAAAAAGGTGGCGTCGAATTCAAGAATTATTAAAGCCTTTTTGGGATCGTTGGATGAGAGAATGGTTACCCATGCTTGGACCACTAAAAAAATGGCATAGCGTAATGGGTAACTTATCAATAGGCGATTAGTATTAGCTATATTCGAAAATACTTCAAGAGGCGATTGGCCACCTGGTCTAGTAATGGAGATTTTTCCTAGAAAAGATGAGTTAGTACCTGTAGCCAATGTTCAAGTTGGAAAGATTATTTTGAAACGATTGATAACCGAGTTATGTCCTCTTGAGCCGAATGATTCAAAAGATATTGACCATTTGGTCAAAAGTAGGAGTATGTTCACGAGACTATTAGTGAAATAATACTTAAATGAAAATAATAATATTGTAATATAAATGTCTCTAAGCGTCATATATTGACCATAGAGATTACCTAAGCTAATTAGACAATTAGCTAGTTTTGTAAATAGATAATTGAAAAAAGTTGAAATACTTATAAAATCTCTCTGGAGAAATATTGCATGGTATATATAATAATGTAAAATTTATAATAAAGTAGCGTTTTAGTATAATATCGAAACTAGTGTTAAATTGAAATATATAATGCACTTAAAAGTTCAGGTATTTATATTAAGTTTTAATACGCCCTCACTTTCTCACAAACAACTTTTAAGTCAATTTATTATATTTCCAGTAATTCCGCTCTAACGTACCACTCTAACGTTTTAAAAAGAATTGCATGACCAATAGTATCAAAGGCTTTTGCCAAATCAATAAAACTTCTAGTAAATTGAAAAATTGTATGCTCAGTAGAATTTTTTTTTTTAAAACATATTGGTTGCTGAATAATAAATTGTTGATAGTAAAATGCTAATAAATTTTGTTTAACAAAATCATTTCTAAAATTTTCAAAAATATAGAAAGTAAGGAAACCCTTTTAATATTGATATGTCTAACTAATTTAAAGGTAATTCTGGCAGCACTGTCAGTAGAGGTAGTTCCAGCCCCACCATCTGTTTTTTAGTCAACAATAAAACAGATGGTGTAATAATAATTTTCAGAATGGTTTTTTAGAGGTTTATCTTTGATTTTTACATTCTTTGGTGTCTGTCTTTCAGGTCAATAGTTCAGATATTGATGGAAAAAATATAGTGTTATAAGTTAAAAGCCCACTTCCTTTCATTTTTGGCATTTTAAAAGACACATTAAATGAGACATTTATGTCAATCTTCTTCTGGCAAACACCATATAAAGTATGGACACGTCATTTTACTAGTACTTCTACCTTGGCGTTGCTTTTACTCCAAGAATAGTTATTCTTTTTTGATAAAAAATTAATCCCTCCCAGAGTAAAATTATTTAGAAAAAGAGAAACTAGAAAGTTTTAAAGTCTAATAAAATTCCGTAACCAAACTCAACTCAAATTTGTAGATTTAAAGTTTAACCCGGAATACATTGAATAAAATACTTGAAATATTCTTCTTTTAGATTTCCTATGTTCTTGTTTGGGGACAAACATATCTGGCAACTTTATATTTATGACATACTTAAAATAGATATAAAAAAGGTATATGAAACACAAGAAAAGATGTAAATGAATACTAAAACTGAAAAGCTAACATCAGTAATTAAGAGCACTAACAACAGTGAATAAGCTCATAAACATTGAATATACAAATTTTTTTTATATTAAATAAATAAATTTTTAAAAATCAATAATAACTGTAACACTGACCAATATCGTAAATAAAAGGCCGTGGCGCAGTGGTTAGATTTAGGTTCGAAACAAGCATTGGACTTATTTCGTGTCACGGTAAGGAAGGAGGCGTTAACTTCCTGGTTAAATGTACCTCCGCGGTGCTCTGTGACACGACCGTTAGGACATCTTGGGGCACCTAAAATGACAAATTAAAGAAGGGGAGAGGGAGAGGTGATGTTTTCATTAAACACTAAAGAATCAAACACTAAAAACATTTATAACATTCGATCAGAAACGGATTTATCAATTAGGGTTTTAGAAATAATAGTTCAAGTATATTTGATCGAGCTGTAAAAACAATTGAAGAAATAAAAATATTTTACCATAGGTTAATTGTGTACTAAAATATCGTGGCAAGAGAATGGGTTCTACCCGCCTTTTTTATGTTAAAAGAATTAAACAATTAAAGCTTTAATTACTAATTAATAACAAAAACCCAGCTAGCACACTTACATTGGGCCAACGTATGTAAAACCATCGCAAACGTTGGCTGTTTTTTCTAATGCACAACCAACGTTGATCCAATGTCATTTGTTTAATGATGAAATAAATACCGACGGAACTAAAAACAGCTGGCACATTGACATTGATCCAACGTATTTAAAAACATCGCAAAAAATTGATTTTTTTTACGATCTAAACCCAATGTTGATCCATTGTATACATTTCGACGTTCATTTAAAGGATATAAATCAACGTTTTTCCAATGTGTGTAAAAACATCAAAAAAATTTGATTGTTTTTACGATCTAAACCCAACGTTGATCCAATGTATATATCTCGACATTGATTCAATGATTATAAATCAACGTTATTCAATGTATGTAAAAACATCGCAAAAAGTTGATTTTTTTTACGATCTAAACCCAATGTTGATCTAATATATATATTTCGACGTTGATTCAATGTATATAAATCAACTTTGATCCAATGCTGATCCAAAATACATCGCAAAAAGTTGATTGTTTTTACGAACTAAACCCAACGTTGATCTATGCGACCAAACATTGCTGTTTTGAAATTATAAAACTTAAATAAAATCTTTCGTGATTATTAAATTATCAAACCAGAATCAACACAATATATATATATATATATATATATATATATATATATATATATATATATATATATATATATATATATATATATATATAAATATATATATATATATATATATATTTATATATATATATATATATATATATATATATATATATATATATATATATATATATTAGGCTATATATATATATATATATATATATATATATATATATATATATATATATATATATATATATATATATATATATATATATATATATATATATATATATATATATATATATATAAAGAAAATAGAAATTAATGTAAATTAATTGATTATTTGATTATTAAATTATCAAACCAGAATCAACACAATATATATATATATATATATATATATATATATATATATATATATATATATATATATTTATATATATATATATTTATATATATATATATATATATATATATATATATATATATATATATATATATATATATATATATTAGGCTATATATATATATATATATATATATATATATATATATATATATATATATATATATATATATATATATATATATATATATATATATATATATATATATGTATATATATATATATATATATATATAAAGAAAATAGAAATTAATGAAAATTAATTTCCGAATAATATTGAATACAACGTTTTGCCAACTAAAGTCCAACGTTGAATCAACATAAATACAACGTTGTGCCAACTTAAAATACAACGTTGGGCCAACGTATAAAACAAAACGTTGAATCAACGTATAAAATATAAACATTTTCCGACTTTAAATAAACGTTTTATCAACATCGATTTTTAGTTGTTGGCGACGTCGCATTTGTAACCATAATGATATAAAAACAACGTTGGCAGCCAACGAAACACGCGATATTGTTCTAATGCTTTAACAGCGTATGTGTGCTAGCTGGGAATACATAAAAAATAAAAATATATAAAAAAATGATATATGTTTAATAACGAAACATAAGTAACATAAACGACCTAAAAACTATAGTTATAAAGAATTACAGTATTAAAACATTTTAATAAACAAGTATCGACAGTATCATTTTAATAAACAAGTATCAAAAGTTATGTTCTTACAACATAAAAAAAGGCAGATAGAACCCTATAATTCTCATGCGACGCTTTGTAAGAACAAAAAATTCTAGTCATTAAAAATTATTTAAGATCAACAAAAAATGATACTATAATTGGTTCAAAAATAAATGTAAAAGAATATAGTCACGTAAATCTACAAAATGGACTCTTAAGACAAAGCTAAAAAACTGCAAAGCTAATAAAATAAAGAACAGTTGATCTATAATAATATTTTAATAATTATATAAATCTATTGTTCCTTATTTTATTAGTTTTAGAGTTATACTTTGCAGTTTTCTTAGTAAAATCTGTAAATGTGAAGACGAGTTACATAAGAAAACTGAAAATCTTTCTGCAAGTCTGTCTGGAATCGGTTTACGAATAGGAAACTTATTTATGTAGCTCCCAGAATTAGATTTTACTTTATATATTTTATGTACTTTGCCAATATTAGATTTCTTTTTTAATTATAATAATTTTATTACTAATAATTGATTTAAAGTTTCTGCTTAAATAAATATGCTGTTACACATTAAAGCTAATTTGTCAATTAAATATATTAGTTATTTTTAAAATAATGGAACGAAAATGTAATAAAACTTAATTTAATGTTTCAGATCCTAATATATAAACTTTTTGAATGTTTTCATATGAGTATCCACAAAATATAAACAGAGAAAACTACTTTTTTGTATAAAAGTTAAAATTGATAAATTTTTGCAAAAGAATCAACAACTATCTCATGTTTAATTATTCTATTATTTATCATTCAAATAGTCTACTGCAATTTCCATGTAGTATCCAGGATCAAACTCTTTATAAGGAAAATCTTCATTATATTTAAACTGCGAAGGATAAAGAATACTTTCAACACTTGATTTAAATATGTTTTTAGTAATTCCTTGAGTTGCAGGTGACAAATTAAATGAAAACAATGCCGTGAAACCATTTTCTTTCACTAATTTAAGCTGCTCACAACATAGCATGTAAAACAAGCGCATACTTAACACGTTTGAGGAGTCACTATCAACATACATAGTTAACGAGTCAGCTATATTGTGTCCGTGATTAAGCAGCTTTTGTATTACGCTACTGCCGTAATAATCAGTTAACCCATGAAATTCTTTAGGCATATAATCTAGAAATTTATATTCTGCTCCTGCTCCATACATTGGACATGTAACAAAAGCTCCCATAATTTTATTGTGTATTTTGATAGCCATACATAAATGAGGATGGTTATCTCGACACTCTTTAACAATAAGCTTAAAAAATAATCCAAAATCAAAACCTTTTGACGCATGAAACATAAACATTGGTTCTTTGGTTAAAAAAGCTTCTGTCATTCTTTGAATAATAAAATCGATTTCGGAATCATTTAAATCAGTAAACAATACGCCTTGAATATGGTCTTCATCTGATAATGCTGTATTTATGAAAGTGCCATTGCAATTGACTTCGCATAAATCATTAAAACTCGTTGTTAATTCATTAATTGTAAATTCCAATCCAAAGTTTTTTACTTCTTCCAAAAAACTAAAAACTGTAATAGAATCGCCCCCGTGTTCAAAAAAGTTTTTATTAGGATCAAATTCATCGTCATACAAGTCAAGGATTTTACAAACTCCGTACTTCAGCTTGTCAATCTTAAATTTACTCTCTAATAAATAATTAAGATTAGTATCGTTATCACAATCTTTGAGAAAATATTTTGAAAGTTCGTTTCGATTAATTTTTCCAGTAATTAATTTAGGAAAGTTATCTATTTTAACAAACTTTGAAATTAAATGGCTTGAGAATATCTTGCATGTTGCACTTCTAAAAACAGTTGTTGGTACATCTTCTTGAGTTTTATAGAAAGCGCATAAAACCCATTGTCCTTTTTTTATGTCATATTTTTTGATTATGTATAATTCAATATTTGGAAACAACTCTTTAATAACGTTTTCTACTTCAAAAATGTTAACTTTTTTCCCTCTTATTTTTGTCACATTGTCCTTTCTTCCAATGAATTCAATTCCGTCTTTAGTCATTTTTACATAGTCTCCTGTTTTGAAAACTTTGGAAAAAATTGCATTATTCTCAAATGAATTTTTCATGAAAAATTTGTTGTTATCCTCTTCCTTAATGTATCCCGTTGCTATAGTAGCTCCAGAAATCCACAATTCTCCTTCGTCTCCGTCTGATACCAGACATCCATCGTTGCTAACTATGTATGCTCTAATACATTCGAGTGGATATCCAATTATTAAACTACTTGCATAATTAAACATGTTGTCTAATGTTGCAAGGGCAATGCCAGTAGATTCAGTAAGCCCGTATTCATTGAAAAGTGCTGCGTTTGGAAAATGTTTCAAGAAAGCAGTAAGAATATTTGGAGGAATACATTCACCGCCGGTGCCAACTATTTTTAATGTTGTATTAATTTCCGTCCATTTAATTAATTCAATTAACAATGTTGGAATGGCAAATAACATAGTCACTTTATATTCTCTCAGAAAATTTGAAAACAAAGGAAAGTTTTTTGAATATTCATCTGTCAGTGAAATACAATTTATGCAGTTTAATACCGCCGTAAATATTTCCATCCAATATGTGATCCATACGCAATTTGTATGTAAACACAAAACATCTGTAGAATTTTTTAGGTTATGTTTTCTTGAATACCATTCTACCATTGCCAAGAAATTTTTTTGAGATAAAATTACACCCTTTTGGCCACCAGTGCTACCTGAAGTAAAAATTACACAAACTGGATCTTCTGCATCAATGTTATCGTATGACGTTCCATTTGTTAAGTGTGATGAATTATCAAACAAGGAGATTACACAAAAAGTTTTAATATTAATATCGTACTGATACCATAATTCGTTCGTTCTTGAATTTTCACCAAGTATAATATAAGTCAAGTGTGCTTCTTTTATAATTTGTTCAATGGTTTGCTTATTGTACGCAGGGTCTAGTGGTACAAATACTATTCCACGTTTTACCAACGCAAGTACTTTATATACTCGTTCAATACCATTTTCTATGAATAAACCAACTCGCGTTCCTTTGGATAAGCCAATTTGAGAAATAAATGATAAAAATTCTTCAGTCTTTTTAAAAAGTTCTTTGTATGTGCAGTACTTATTGCCATTTTCTGTTAGCTCATTTATTCCAGTCATATTATGGTTGTTGTCTAAAGACTTCTGGAAAACTTGGTACATGTTGGTAAATTTTTCTGTTTTATCTTGATACATTTTCTTATCTTTAAAAATAAAATATGTCATAGTTATTTGATAAATAAATTTAACGTATATATATATATATATATATATATATATATATATATATATATATATATATATATATATATATATATATATATATATATATATATATATATATATATATATATATATATATATATGTATACATATATGGTAGTAGTAGTAGTAGTAGTAGTAGTAGTAGTAGTAGTAGTAGTAGTAGTAGTAGTAGTTGTAGTAGAAAAATGCAGCATGAGGTTTCCCTGTATAACCCACAGGTTTTGGCAGCCTTATCTACTTCATACTCTAATTTTATTCATATCAATATATAAAAATTTACAATAAGACATATAGTATGAAGTATAAGTTTGTACTTCATTTGTTTTTTCTTTTTTTTTTTTTAGTTATTATCTCGATATTTATGCCGATTATTTAAAATTTCCGCGTCGAGCTGGGCCTTGAAACTGTTAATAGATAAAGCGTATATAACTTCTGACATTAAATTTGAACAAATTTTCTTGTAATTTTTAGATGAGGTCCTCTAGTTTTTATTTTATTTAATACCCCTACACGAAGGACATGGGGTTCACTCCATGAGACAATGTCTATATTGTTAATAACTTTATAATTAGTATACTTAGAAGATCTTTGTATGACATATGACGGTACGAAGGTATTAAATGGGTAACTCTTTTATTGATTTTATCAATATCTATTCTTGACGATAGATTGCTAGCTGCTACCGCGAATTTTAGATGAGGTCGTACAAAGGCTGTGTATAGTAGTTGTGGAGTCATGTAACTGAAAGTACAATACAACATGCCTATTACACGGTTGGTTTTATTGATTCCATAAGTTGAATTGTTATGCCGTTTCAAGTCTGGTATAATTATATTGCCAAATTACGTTCGACTAAAGTCGATGCTAGTTCAACACTGTTATTGTTATTAGCTGTCATTGAGAAGACATAAAAATTGTTTTTTTTACCTATGTACATGATTTTACATTTATCAAGATTAAGTTTCATTTTCCAGGTTTTACACCATTCGATTATTTTGTAGATATCAGTTTGAAGTTTTTGTGAAGCTAATAGGTGGTCTAAACGGGTCAGCAGTTTTGTGTCATCAGTATACATTTTACATGGATGGTTAACAATATATCGTTCACGAGAATGATAAAAAGTATTGAACCTAAGATGGATCCTTGAGGGACGCCATTAAATACCTCTACCCACAAGGATACATAATTGCTCATCACAATTCATTGAAACTGCTGGTGTAAAACAGTTTTATCCGATTCAAAATATTTCCAGTAAAACCATATCCCTCGAGTTTGTAAATTAGTCACTTGTGGAGAACCATATCGAACGCTTTACTGAAATCTATAAAAGCTACGTCCATAGAAACCTTGTCAGATAATGCTTTTGACATCATGTTAATCGACTCATTGAAAAAACTATGTATTTTTTGAAATAAGGATATGTTCAACTAAGTGATAGACCATAGTGTCACCTAATATAATCTCCATCACTTTACATACAATTGATAATAAGGATATAGGTTGGTAATTGCCTGGGTCGAGTCTACTTCTTTTTTTAAACAGTGGTATTACAATAGCTTTTTTCTATACTTAAGGACAATACTTAGTATCTAGCGACTTCTGAAAAATTGTGCTTAAAGGAACTAAAGGTACAGTTCTTCAGTACATATGGGCTTACACCATCCACACCAACAGTTTTATCAACTGATAAATTGCTTAGCTTGTTTTTACCCAGATGGCTTCAGTTTGTTTTATAAAACATGGAAGTTTGTCGTCTTCATTTTTGTTGAAAACACTTTGAAAGTGGTCGTTTAGCCGATTTACATTTCTATTGGATTTGTGATCGCCATTGGTTCTTTTTAATGTTGTTATTGTAGTTCTAACATTTTGTTTGCTATTAACATACTTGAACAGGATCTTTGGGTTGTGCTTCAATTTTATCGCTAAATCAAGTTCAAACTCACGACGAGCTTGAATTATGAGCTTCTTCAATTGAATATTACACGCTTTGTATTTGTTAATTAGTTGAAGATTTTTATATTTATTTGCTCTACATTGAAACCATAGTTTATTTTTAGCTTTTTCTTTTATTCTTGATGTCATCATTCATCCATTCGCTTCTTCGGCGAATCCCTTTTGAATTAGTCACTGGGACATAAGTTTTGCATGCTGCCTCGTAGTGGTTCAGGGAAATGTTATAACAGTCATCAGTATTGCGTCAGTTGAATTCCATCTGCCAGTCAATAATGATAATATTTTTACAAAGTTACCTTTATGATAAATGCGTTTTTCAATAAGTTTACCTAAAACTGCTGCTCTTTAAACAGCGTAATCCCATTGAAGGACGTGATGAGATTTCTTCAGAGACGTTAAAGGTGCATGATGAATAATATCAACTACCCGATTTTCATTTTCGGCTATAATTAGATCAAGAAAGTAGTCCGCAGGGATTTCATCAAGTTGATAAGTGGGCTTAATAACGAATTGCATCAAAAACGACTCGACAAGGATGTCAATAAGTCAGAATAAATGTCAGAAGTTCATTTGCTTTAGTAATGGACGCTTCAATTCTCTCAAGTGGATCTGGCATGTGTGGCCTGTATATGCAACCCAGAAGAATGCGTTCGGAACCATACAATATTTCGCACCAAATTTGTTCAGAGAAATCTAATAAAACATTTTGGCTTACTTCATTAGGTTTTAATGAAGTATCTACAGAAATAGCCACCCCACCTTCTCTGCTGGACACGCGATCTTTTCTGAATAACATATAGTTTTCATTGTTAGTTATAGATGATTCATTCTAACAAGTTTCTGTAAGGAAGATTGTTTTAGACTTGTATGTCTCAATTGATGCTAGAAACTCTGGCATTTTTTTGTTAAGGGATGTGGCATTGGTATAATAGCATGGACTGTTGTAGTAGACCATCGGTGGCCAAACCACTGCCCACGGGCAAAAAAATGCCCGCAGAGACTTTTTTAAATGTCCGTTAAACAATTAGGATATTTAGGAGACAACCATCTTGGTAATGTGATACTTATATCTACCTCAAAAATCAATTCAGATATCAAAAAACCTTTTTCAGACGGTCAAGTTCACCACTCTTAATAATTATATTGCTTTGATACAAGTGATTAAAATAGTTATTTGTCACATTTTCGTAGAAATAAATATTTTTTGCCCGCAAAACTGTTTTTTAACTTTTTTTGCCCGCATCCAAAAAAGTCTGGCCACCCCTGTAGTAGACTGATAGTTGAAAGTGAATCTGCTCTAAAGGAATGTCGTTTAGATTCAAATTGTCGTTATATGGTTTTAATTTAATAATTTTTGATTGCTATTTGTCTACTTTAACCACAGCATTATTACGAATAACCTAGTAATGACCTGCCGTTGCCCTTTTTTTTTTTTAATTGAGAGGCTTGTTTTTCTTTTTCAAATCGTCTTGTAATTTTTTATCTTGTCTTTTTTGTGCTTCCGTCAGATTTGGATTAACATAGATGCCTTCAAATTTACGCCGGGCTGCCGTAACTATATTATTTCTGACAGTGATAGTGACAGTGGTTGAGGTTTATTCAGATCTTTTGACCGTGAACAAAAATAATTTTATTACAGTGTCCGAGTTAATTTAAAAGTTGGTTAAAAGCTCTTTTATTTTGTTTTCATCATCTACTTGCTTTTCATTAGGTTCTATTTTAGTCGATGCTGGAATGCCAAAGGCGATAAGACGTCACGCTTCATTCTATCTTTGTTCTAATTAGCTTCTTAATTATGCATATTTAGTTAAGCTGGCGTTTTAACTTTTTTCCGACCACAACGTTCCATGCTTCCTTTGTAGTTGAGGAAGCAGCGGGTTTTTCCTCTAGTTGTTGGATTCGCTTTGTGAGGGCGATGATCGTCGATGTTTGTTCAACAATAGTTTTTGATAACGTTTCTACTTGCTTTAGAAGCGTTTCCTACTTGTTATTCAACTCAGAAATGTCGGCTTTTGGAGGCATTAAGTGTGAATATGTACAAACAACAGTGTATATAGTTTATATAAATATTTATTTAAATTATATATATATATATATATATATATATATATATATATATATATATATATATATATATATATATATATATATATATATATATATATATATATATATATATATATATATATATATATATATATATATATATATATATATATATATATATATATATGTATATATATATATTTTATTTATTAGGAATATAAGTTTCATGTATTTTATATAAATTTTTATAAATAACTTTTTTTTTTTAAATTTTTTTCTACAAAAATACAAAAAACACAATAGTTTCTCTAGACAAACAATGGCTTATTTATATAAAGTGAAAATAAACAAAAAGATTAGAAAACGATAGAAACGCAACTTCAGAGTTTAAAATAAGTTGTAAAACATCAAAACATCGTACTAACTTATTTTTCTTTTTTGGTCTATACAAATTTGAAGAAAAATTAGTTTGTGTGATGCTGTTTTGATGTTTTACAACTTATTTTAACTTTACTTACAAGAAGGAATGTCGCTAAAACGTTTTATTTCAGAGTTTACGATCACGACTTTTGAGTAAATTAAAAAAAAAATAAGTCGCTGAAACTTTTCCAAAACTCGTTAAAAACTCTCTAAAATAATACGCTGAATTTAAGCAAAAATAAAACCGTCGATTAAAAATTTACAACTTTAACATATAATAGAGGTATATAATTATGCATATACGAGTGAATATTAAGAAGCAAAATAATAAATTTAAATTACTCAAAAGCATGTATATATATATATATATATATATATATATATATATATATATATATATATATATATATATATATATATATATATATATATATATATATATATATATATATATATATTGTATTAAAATGTGTCAGAATTTTAACATTTATTTGATATTATTTATTATTTTGAAATATTTTTCTGATATTTTACAGATTAAATAATTATTTTAATTTATATATATAAAAAAAAAAAATATTTACAAAAATGTTTTGCGTCGTCAAACAGCTCATTGAATTAAAATAAAATGCTCATTTAAAATTTTTTTTACGGGAATGCATAGCATAGTTGTAAGGTAATATCAACAATGCTCATAACAATAGCAGTACTCGTTTATACCTAATTTCGATTCGATTTTTAACTTTTAGAAGCATATTGCTTTGTTTTTTTGTTTTGTTTAAAACAGCATAAGTTTGCAATAGTTTGGCGCCCAATAAACTTTTTGCTTGAATGATTTTTAATATTTGCTAGTTAATCGAGCTTAATTTAATAGACTTTTTGTCTTCATCTTTATCCTACCAGAGTTTAACTAAACATGTAACGGCTAAAAAAAACACTGAATAATGCCTTTATACAAACAAAAAATACTATAAGGAAAAGCTTTGAATTGCGAAAGGATTTTAAAAGTGACCATGAGACACGTGATGGAATGGAGGTTCAAAAATAGCAATTTTTAGCGTGATATAATATTGTTACACTAATCAAGATGCTAGTTTACTATTTCCCTTTTAAATTTTTTTTTTTTTTTTCTCAACACGTTATTTTTTTAATTTTTAATCATGTAAAATAAAAAGTTTAATCAATAAGAAAAAAGTTTTATTTAGATGTATTATAAGGCTCATAAAAATATCTTCATTTATTTATTTCTAAAACTTTACCACGCGTTTAAAATCTTTTTTTTTATTATTATCATTAAATTAAATTTGAACAAAATTTGTTATTGTTGTTAAAACTAAAAATAGATTAAGTTATTAAAAAATATTGTAAAGATGTAGTTATTAAATTTACATTCACAACTAAAAAAAAAAAAAAATAATGTTGTCAACAAATTTTCTTGCACTTGCAGAAATGTCAGTTTTATTGGATAAAATTACGGACGTTTGACAATAAGGATACACGAGTACCTTACACAAGTACCTTACAAATGACAATCTCATGATTGCAATAGTTTAAGCTCATCCATCAAATGTAACTAACCAATGTAAATAACCAAATATATTACGACTTTTTTTAGATTATGGGTACTGCCCTAACTAAAAATAAATTAAAAAAAAAGAGAAACACATCATATTAAAATGGAAAACTTCTTTTTCAAATAAACATTCATCTCATTATATAACCAAACTAGTTTCTTATTTTTATTTATTATTATATAGTATATTATTATTACTTTTACCGTATCATATTTTTACCTTTTTAAAACTATACGTGCTAAAACAAATCTGGTTACAGTTTTGTTATAGCACGTATAGTTTTTAAATTATTTTCATTTTTGCGTATTATGAAAATGTTATAATTATATGAAAATGGAGTGTTTAATATAATACATTTCATGCAAACCATTTACTTGGGAAAAGTAACATATACTTTAGGGTGGGTTGACAAAAAACAATTTTTAAAAATTGTTTTCCAATACCTCAAAAAGAATTTTGTATAATAAAATAACACTGGATATTTATAAAAATTTTAGAACAAAAAACATTTTTTGGTTGGCTCCAATATTTATCTCTATTGTGGTCACAACAATTTCTCAACTTTTTAACTCCGAAACACTAACCTTAACGAACAAGGTCGCTGCCTAGAGAAATAAGTTGGTTAATACGGTAATACCAAGACTTAGAAGACTATACAGATTAGATGCTATAAAAAGCGTTGAGAGTGGAATTTCCGTTCAAACATTTGGAGTAGAATTTCACGATACAACTATTTTAGCAATAGTCAACCATCATGCTTTCATTCCAAAATCCAAGGTGACGAACTCTCATAGCCCTAATGTCTTGACAAAACGTTCCCCTAGCTTGTCACTCACTGTACCAAGGTTTTCGGAAAAGAAGTCTAGATGGGAATAACTAAAAAAAAAATAGAAAAACGCTCATACTTTATTAAATGATTATTATATTTGTGTATTGATATTATTACAAAATCAAGACTTTTACACGTTCACAGAAGTCAAAGAAATGGCTTGTAGCACTTGTAATGCTCGCAAAATGCATTCTTATAATGCATGCAAAATGCATAATCAGCAATGCTTGCATTGCTGGTTATGACTTTATAATTGAATTTCTTTGCGACATTGTTCTTATTTGACGACATTGTTACGGAAAACAAACGTTTATCGACGTTGACTGTTGTACTGATCTTATCATCAGAATCTTTTCCAAGCCGTGTTTATAAACAACATCAATACATAATCAAAAAATAAAACGTATTTTACAATAAAAGTTTTAAATAAAATATATAGTCACAAATAAAAATACCTGATTTAATTACAAAATGAAAGAATTAATTTTTTCATTTTATATTTGAAAATTGGAAAAGTATAAGACATATCGAAACTGTGCAAAACGATTTTCATAGATATGCTGCACGGTATGTAATACAAAACTCATAAAACTTGGTTCGACAAAAAGGGTGTATAAATAAAGTTATTATTTCTAAGTGAATATTCATTTATTGGTTTAAACAAAAGAAATCTTTAAAAATAGATGAATTAATTAATGACTTGCTTATCAACTGATTGATGTATCAACAGTTGCTTGCTTATCAACTGATTGATGTATCAACAGTTACTTACTTATCAACTGATTAATGTATCAAAAGTTGCTTGCTTATCAACTGATTGATGTATCAATAGTTGACATTGACAATTGACAACTGTTTAAAATTATTTTGTTAATAAACAATAAATTTATTATTATGGATTTATTAATAAATAAATTTTTTAAATGATTTATTAGTAATAATTTAATAAGTCCAAAAAAATATGACTAAAAAAACAACAACTAAAAAACAAAAAAGATTTGTTTATATTATAAGCGCTTTATAGTTAATGTACGCAAGTACGATTAGCATGGCGTTGTCTTTCTCCATCTTGATCATATTTATCAGAAACCTGGTGAAGGTGACTTTTACCACAAAATATATTTTAAATACCACAAACATAAAATAAGTAATTTTACCACAAACAATTCCAACAACGTGCATTTTGCTGAATGCCATCTTATTTCCTTTCCCCTTCCAATTACATAACTTTGTAACATCTGTGATCAATAAACGACTTACCACTGCTCTGGTAGTTGACTTTACATTGAGCCCACCAATCGATTCAAGAAATCTTATCCATATAAAGTAGGGTTTATTTAAAGTAGTCTATATAAAACTTATTTCATGATAATGCTTTAAAAAAACAAGTTTCATTAAACAAAAAATTTTTATTAATGATTGAATATTAGTTTAAAAGTAATTTATATAAAACATAAAATACAATTTTATATATAAAAAAATCGAATTAGGTTTGCATATACATATCTTTCATAATTTTATTAAATGCTTTATAGTTAACTTAATTAGTATTATTAAAATAATTAATAATTTTATTAATACAAAAATTATTAATTTGATAAATAATATATGTATTAACTATTATGCTTAAATAGAGCTTTACCATTCTCCCTTTAATGTCACGTTCTTTAGTTTGATCGTTAATAAGGTTAAACTCTTCTTAAGTTGCTGCTGGCAATTGGAAAGGAAATCCTTTTTCAAAACTCGCTCTCTCATTTATTCTTGCATAGTTCAGTAACAGGTTGATAGTTTTTTCTTCTTGTTCCTTACGCTTCCCACGGACGTAAAAAAGACGTCTTTTAAACGTCTTATACACGTTTTGGACGTCTTTTAAACGTCTTTTGAACGTTTTTGACGTTTTTTGAACGTACAAAAGACGTCTTTTTTTGGTCTGGTGCCCACTGGGTTGTCTTCTTGCGCTAAAAACTCATTATAATTTTTAAAATAATGTAAAAACATAAATTAAAAATTAATACACAATAACCATTGACATTCTGAATCATATATATAATCCATAATGTGATATATAATCTATAATCGCTATATATAATCTATAATCGCTATATATAATCTATAATGTGATATACAAGTAAGCTATAATAAAAATTAGAATTTAAAAACTTAAATATATACGTGTTGCAGTTAAATACAGCCGTCCATCTGAAGAGTATGGTGGAAATTTTTTCAATGAGGTTTAAAAAATGATGATAGAATTCTAGACATATAGATGATAGAATTCTAGACATATAGATGATAGAATTCTAGACATATAGATGATAGAATTCTAGACATATAGATGATAGAATTCTAGACATATAGATGATAGAATTCTAGACATATAGATGATAGAATTCTAGACATATAGATGATAGAATTCTAGACATATAGATGATAGAATTCTAGACATATAGATGCTAGAATTCTAGACATATAGATGATAGAATTCTAGACATATAGATGATAGAATTCTAGACATATAGATGATAGAATTCTAGACATATAGATGATAGAATTCTAGACATATAGATGATAGAATTCTAGACATATAGATGATAGAATTCTAGACATATTAATCTGCTTAGGAAGATCTTCGTACACTTTTTATGTTTTTATGTTATGTTTAACTTTTTATGGCTTTTTTGTGCAAGACTTTCGTTAAGATTTTTTTTTGGATTAGATAGTTTGTGAATTTTTTGCAAACAAAAATTTATTTCTGGACTACTGCATGTATCAGTGTCTGA